AGTTGTTTCTTTTTTCAGCAATAAAATGCCTATGGTTTGTAATAAACATGTTTTTCGTAAATTACACAATGCGTTTGTCTACAATATTATTTTAACAATCATATTTAATCAACCAATACACCCAATTAACCGAGCAAAAACTTGGTCCCCCGATACTGGTTTTCTTATAAACAAATGCTGTGATTCTTTGTCCACATCTACGTTGTTATTTCATAACCATCATAGCAATCCTTTTAAGCATAGTGTTAAAACTAAAAAACAAATTAAGTTATGCTAGTTTTAAATTGTATTGGAACGATGACATTTAAACTTGTTTGGTAAATAACATATCCCTGTTTGACGAAATAACTAAGGTAGGTTTGGCTAGAATATGTTCAGCTGTTATTGCGTAAAGCGATTGCACAGTTTGTATAAGGTCCGGTCTCAAGGCACTTCGCTCAACAAAACCAATATATCTGGTATTATATTTTAGGTGTTCACGTAATAGGGCTGCTGATATCTATATAAATAAAATTAGAGTTTTGTCTGTACATCACGTAGAATCAAAACTGTTTCGGTTATTTTTTCATTTCATACGATAGGAAAGCCGAAACGCGTGTTATCTTAATTTCTGTCTGTCTGTCTATCTGTCTTTCTGTCTGTCTGTAATACTCAAGATGGCATTTTACGCTCTCTTCTACGGGAAAACGACAAAACAGATTATGATTAAACTATTTCAATGTATTCTCTACATGCATAAGAAGGTTTTTAATTACTTGAAACTTATCTACGTCCATTGGTAATAAATTAACGAACACTCAAAACCCCAGTTTTGTGCGGTATTAGACTTATTTTGTTTTAAGTTTTGTCAAGTGATCTATTGTAAGTTAAATAATAATAGCTGTTCCTGGAATATTTTCATACCTAACAAAACTATAGAAATCTTTATCTGTGTTAATATTTAACGTGTTTTAAAATTATACTATACTAGCTGTAACCCGCGGGCTTTGCCCCGTTTAACTTCTTAATTTTCAAGATGATTTCGTTCGCATGGCTCAATCACGTCCTGGTTGAAGTTTGTTCGCTACGCTCACTCACCTTTAGGTTGGAGCTCGTTCGCTGCACTCACTTGCCTTCAGATTAGCTCGTTCGCTACGCTAACTCGCCTCCAGGTTGAAGTTCGTTCGCTAAGCTCAATCACCTTTTGGTTGCAAATTAGCTGTTGTCATAAATGTAAAAGAAATAATAGTGCTGCACCCTGTTGGTAATCCTTGTAACTTTAATGCTATTGAACATCATAGAACAGAACCAACTTGTTTAATTAAAACAGCTGTTAAGATTCATTAATTCCATTTCTCATAAGGTTAACATGGGAAACTCCAGAGCCACTGGGGCGGAGCCGATTGGACGGATCACGAAATTGATGGTGTATAAACATATTCCATGAAATTCTACACGTATGTACCAAGTTTCGTGGCAATATACAAACATCCTCTTTTATACTTATAGATACAATTTTACATTTTATCCCACCATGATGGATTTACGTCCTTAGGAAGTTTCTATTCTTAGTAAAGACAGTACACGGTGTTTGGCTTATTTCTAACAAAAAATATACTGTGGTATTTGACAATTTGAAGAGAATAAGCGCAAAGCTATTAAAAGCTTAATAAAATGCAAATAATGACATTGACTATGGGATGGATGACGTGTTGCGTAATATTATGAAATAGAGTTTCGGCTGTTTGTGATTTTTTTTATTTTACAAACATTGATGAAACTGCCGTTGTATTTTAAGATTCGGGTTATGTTTATGTTAAATTAATTATAGGAAGTGAGAGTTTTTTTTTTATTATTTTTCATAGTGTTGAATGTGCATTATAACAAACCATATGAAAAGAGGCCTGACTGTTTTAAAGACGAAGGTTGAACATTTTGTTGGTGTTGTAATTTAAATACTTATGATTTGATATTGATGCTATTTGATACAGGTAGTAACAACCTCATATATATATCTTTTTATTATTACTGTAAATTTTAATGCTTGAATCTATACTTGACGTAATAAGATTCCTCATTGTATAGTTTTTTTTTCTGTATATTTTATTAAACCCGTACGTAGAACGGGTACACAGCTAGTATTGAATACAGTAGTAAATAAAGTACATATGGGCGCCCTGAAATAATTAATAATAATGAAAAAATGTTATAATTATTTCAGGGTGCTCAGTTTTGCTTTATTTACTAATTTAATATCTTGTATAGTAATGTCAGTGTGTAGGTCACTTTACCATGATTCTTCTGGATGTAGGCCTATATTGTGACTTAACGAGTGACATCTACTAAACAATGCAACGAGTACAAGTTTCCTTTTAAGCATTGTTATTTCAGCGTGATAACGGGCGTTTTTGTATCGTAACAATCGCTATTGTTTCGTTGTTCTCTCATAACAATAACAGACTTTGTGTTGCACTGTAAACAAACAGAGAGTATCACATATTCTTGGACCGTCACACATTACGACCGTGTCACATATTGCTCGTTAAATTCCAGTTATACATTAACATTTTATAGAACTATACGTGCTACAGTACCTTCCTTCTCAGATCACATATAACCAACATTTTGACATTTTTTCACGTGATACTATCTTGTAACAAATCTCCACAAAATGCAATACTGGATCCAGTGTCTTATTCATTGCCGTCTTTGAACAAAGAGTGGATTTCTTTTTGGTTATTATGTTGGTGCACATAACATACCGCAATGAATACGAGTTGCTTGTTACCATCTAGTGAAAATATCCACTATTTTATTAATTATTCGTTATTACACTGTTAAACCTTTCTACGATGACATTCATTGCACGTCCCCAAGGTAATGAGAACGACAATGGAGAGTTGTCAACATCTTGCCACTTTTTGATTGTTACGACAGTTTTACACATTTAAACGTTGCTTGCTTATTTCTCAATACCTCAATGTGCAACACACTTTGACCATGTCACTCATTGTTCTTTACAACAGTGTTACACATTACCAGGAAGTACCTTATTGCTGGACACTTCATTGTAATACACATTTTGACCATGACACTTATGCACGTTACAACAGTGCTACACATTACCATAAGGTCCATTATTATGCGATACCTCACTCTGTAACACACTTTGACCATGTTCATTGCAACTCATTGCTCATTACAACAGTGTTACACATTATCATTGCTCGACACCTCATTGTGTTACACACTTTGACCATGACACTCATTGTCCTTTACAACAGTGTTACACATTATCAGCAAATACCTTATTGCTCAACACTTCATTGTGTTACACACTTTGACCATGACACTCACTGTCCTTTACAACAGGGTTACACATTATCATTGCTCAACCCCTCATTGTGTTACACACTTTGACCATGACACTCACTGTCCTTTACAACAGGGTTACACATTATCATTGCTCAACACCTCATTGTGTTACACACTTTGACCATGACACTCACTGTCCTTTACAACAGGGTTACACATTATCAAGGCTCAACCCCTCATTGTGTTACACACTTTGACCATGACACTCACTGTCCTTTACAACAGTGTTACACATTATCAGCAAGTACCTTATTGCTCAACACCTCATTGTGTTACACACTTTGACCATGACACTCACTGTCCTTTACAACAGTGTTACACATTATCAGCAAGTACCTTATTGCTCCACACCTCATTGTGTTACACATTTTGACCATGACACTCATTGTCCTTTACAACAGTGTTACACATTATCAGCAAGTACCTTATTGCTTGACACCTCATTGTGTTACACACTTTGACCATGACACTCACTGTCCTTTACAACAGTGTTACACATTATCAGCAAGTACCTTACTGCTCGACACCTCATTGTGTTACACACTTTGACCATGACACTCACTGTCCTTTGCAACAGTTTTGCTTGTAACCATCCTTCTATGCTTCCTATTTAACTGTACTGTCCTATCAAGTTCTTTATTGCAATTTTCTATATATGTACACACTGAATATCATCTATTTATTTTTATCTGTGTCATACACATTATACATAACCTCTGTCTTAAACTACATGATCTTATTTTGTACCTGGAAACAGTTTCATATAATACATACAAATTGTATTATTCATTGCAGGAGTATTTTAATGGATTTAGGTTGCACAACGAATTGCCATCCCCTTACACTAATTTAGTTTTAGTTTTGCTAGTTGGTTTTAAATGCGTCACATACAATATATGTACATATTTATCCTATTGTAATGTATACTGAATGTAATATTATTAAAGTAGTTATGTTTTATTAAAGTAAAGTATAATTTTTACTGGTGTGATATATCAAACTATGTGCTAGTTATTGTTTGGAGTATTACATCTTACGTGCGTGCATGATAATAATGTATGTCCAATTCAACATTGTTTATCGGTTAAACCTCAAACACATTTTTTAAACATTGTCTTGATTTGCATTTTATCAAAATCCTAGAATTTATAATACCTAACGTTATAATAGAGATTATAAGCGTAATATAACGTATATGGATTGCAAACTTAAGTGGCTGTATTTAATGTGAATAATGTTTTGTACATATTTTTGTTCCTTCAATGTTCCCCCATGCAATGTATACATCAAAACAGACAATGGGAATATACATCAAAAAGATTATCAACTTGTAGAATGTTGATTGTTTTTTTACAGTAAAAGGAGAAAGGAAAATAAGGTACGTACAAAGAAAATGGTTTGGATTATAGCCTATATTATTAAATGAATATTTAAATTAATGTAAAAATGTATTTAAGTTATTTAAATTTACATAGATAATTTTAATATATTATAAAAGTGCCCAAATATTTGTTTCAGCTGTCTGACAAAAAAATAAGAATTACACCTAAGTAAATATTGAGGTTTGTAAGTCTAAATGGTTGCTATCTTACAGGTGGTTGCTCCCCATTGGAGGCGAAGATAGTGAATAGACCATGCACACTTACCTAGCGAGTTTATCTAGACGAATAAACACAAATTCACATACACCTAACACATAAACACATCACAAACACTAAACACAGAGAATTGCCACCAGTAGCGGAGACGCGGTATATTTGGCGGGAGATGTTGCCGCGCCGGGGCGCCACAGCACACTGCAGGCCCGCCACACAGATACCTGGCAGCGGCTCGGCAGTGCCCGGTGTCTCTCGGCTAACATCGGCTACCTGTAGCCTCCTCCTCCGACAACCATCCACCTGTCATGTACCCACCCGCCGGGCCAAATCGGTACTTGCAATAACTAGTGAGGATGTTTTAGTTTTCACGTTAATGAACAAAATCAATTCATGGTAATCGGGATGACACTGAGTCTATATTGAGAAGCATATTTGGATGGTTAGAGTATGCTACTTTTCTCAACACAGTATCGCACAAGATAGTAAATGGTTTTATAGTTAAAATTAAAGAAACTCTACTGGGTTAGGTGTGTTTTCCATCCCAGACTTTTTAGCAGATATTAATAAATTGGGTTCTATGATGTTCAATAGCATAAAATAGTTACAAGGCTGTGGTTGATATTCCCCCACTTTACAGGATTCTCTATGGTGACAATTAGTTGGTTTAGAAGGATGTCTCAAATCAAAGAAATAAAATGACCCAACTAAATTATTTTACAACGATTATCAGCAAGGCAACAGTTTTCTTCAGTTCTCAATGCTGAAAACCCCTTTTTGAAACATATTTCAGACATGTTTACTCGAAAAAAAGGAGCATTCATTAAACGTAATCGGTAAAAACTGAGAGCAGAAATGTAGGTGACCCTTGACAAAGCAATTAAAGATTTTCAAAATTGATTTCTAAGAAGTGTTTAAAGAACTCTAAGGTGTTACTACAATAACTCGAATTTAAGCACAAAGTTTCTCGACGTTATGTTTCATACTAGACTCATTGTGCTACACAGATTCACTAGTATTATGTTAATAAGAAGTACTAGACCTAGCACAAACTAATCTTCTACTGTGAAAATTCCAAGATTAAAACCTAATCATTATTCATTAGGTAAGTTTAATTTGTTTGTTCTTGTGGTAATGTATTTTAATTTGTAGTGCTCGACACAATTGCACCACCACGGGAAATCTCCTCTTAATCTTCTTTTCGGTCGAACTCTTATTTGACAAAGGTCTCAAGACGTTTCTGGATTAAAGAAGAGTTATATTCTTTATTGAAGGCCATCTTTATCTGACAGATCAAGAAATATTTTTAGTTCACCGATTATTAGTTTTAAATTGTGATCATAAAGATTGATGTGGTACAGGATAATTCTAAACATTTGTTTAGGTTAAAAATACGTAAAATGACAACACTGGAAAAGGTATGTAGTTATAATACAGCAAGAGTGAAAGAAATATTGTTAACTAGTATAAAATATGCCATGAGGGATTACTCAAAATAAGTAGTTTAAAGCTACAGACTTTTGCAAAAAGCTGAAGATTTTAACTATATTGCGTTTTGTAAAAAAATAATTCGACATGATAAATAACAGTTGCATATTGAGTTAATTAGAAACAACCTTAATCTAATAATAGTAATAAATGCTTTTATTGAAATAACCGGTAAAGAATATGATTAATTAAAAACATGGGCCGAGCATTGCTCGTGGTATTTATTTGAGAGGTGAAAAAATGTAAAGCTATATCTACGATTTCCATAGTTATAAAATACAGTATAATATATGATAGAACAAATGATATAATAACAGTTTCAATTATTTGTGCTACACAACATTTTATTCAAAATCTTGTCATCTCAAGTAATTTGATTTGATTTAATTTAATTGATATAGATATCTACATGATGAATAATAAAGGCGCCAGTATTAAGCCTTGAGGAATTCCGCATTCTATATTTATCCTGTCTGAATAGTGTTTTATTCCCTTTTTTACAATGAAAGTTCTTTGTTTACGGGTTTTCAATTATGATCTAAACCATTAGGAATGTTACCTGTTTTTCCAATTATGCTAAATTTGTGAATTAGAATTTCATGATTGACACAGTCAAATGCCTTAGACAAATTACAGAAAACACCAGTTGCATTATGTGATTCATTCAAGGCCAACAGGGTTTTATTAACAAAACATGAAAGAGCCTTTTGATGGTTAATGTTTGTTTCTGAAGCCAAATTGGTAATTTTGAAAGGAAGAAATATTTTCTAGAAATCTACTTAGGTATATTTCCACCAAATTACACTTCGGTAATTATTTATGTTTACTATTAATCCCTTCTTAAAAACATGAATGACAATACCATTTTTAAGTTTTTCTGGTAAAACGCCACTGCTAATAGAGGCTTTAATGATGTTACTCAATGCCGGTGCCAGTATAAATGAATGTTTCTCAATAAATGGACAGGTATTCCATCCCAGCCTGTGGAAGGTTTATTTTTCGGACCTTTTAATATTTTGTTTTGCAGATGTAATAATGAAGAAACATTACCAATATAAAAATCTGAATAGTTATAAGATATGACCGTAGTCTTTCATGGTTTCTATCACATTTATATTATGGAAATTTAATTTATTTACAATGTTTTAAAAATGGTTATTGAAATATTGGGAAACTTCCCTGGTGTCATCAATCCTGCTATGACCAATTTACAGCTCTATACAAGTTTGATTGTTACTGTCTAAGCCTAGCTGCCTCCTTGCTACAGACCAAGTATCCTTTACCTTATTGTCAGACACCTTAATGCAACTTTTGTTGCCCTGCCACTTAGCTATTTGACAACGTAGTTAAACGTGGTTTTGTATCTCTTAAAACGTGTTCTTTAAAATCTATGCTGTACTTAAAAAAAAAAAACTTACTTGACTTACTAGAATTTATTTTACATTTTTATTTTAAAGAAAAATGCCAATCAAATTTCAAAAGCAGCTTTCCAAGAAAATTATTATAAAGATGATAAATATGATGCATTAACACTACTAATTTTAAATTATGAATTAAGGATATTTTTTTTATATTTTTGATATTTTTTGTGCCATTGATCGCTTATCAAAAATCCTTTTGCTTACATTATTAGACTTTCCTTTATTTTCCAGAAATATAGTTCCAACATCGAACAATTGTGGTTTGTTATCATAGTTGGGCATTGTTGTATCATGGAATGCCGTAAATTGAAATACAAACTAAATTATGCTCTAAAATCTCTACAAAACATCCTTTTAAAAAATCATTAATACTAGCTAAATCCTCCCTTATACTAAAATCTATACCATTTCTCAACTTAATAAGGGATCTGCCTCAAGACATGTTCTCCCTATTATAGAAATCTGCTTAGACAAAACCAGAGTTCAGAAGCATTACACAATCTGGACATAGCCAGTGTTCGTTTAGAGAAATACCAAATATAGTTAGTAGGCCTTATAGTTTAGTAGGCCTTCTTGGCAATCCATCCAGCATTTGGTTTCGTGTAGAATCAGTAGAAGCAGCAGTAACACAGTAAAGTAGGACAACTCAAAGGAGAGTGATTTTTACACGAAGACTTGTCTCTGCAGATTCTGAACGAAGGTAGTGGTGCTTGCATATAAGCTTAGAAAGATTCTCTGCCAGAATTATTCTTATTCTACACGATGATTTAGGAAGAATAGGCCTAGAGGTATCTTAAAAAGCTCGTTGTACATTTTAGGAAATGTGTGTTTCGTTATGAATCCGAAAATGGTTTGTTAATTATTTGTTATAACTCGAAAACGTTTCTTATGATCTGGAATTTTTGTTAAATTAGGAATTCTAAGGATTCTGTGAGGACTTCTAAGGATTCTGGCTAAGTACATTTAAATATAGTAATAAATATTATCATAGATTTTTACTTAAATATGAAAAAAACTTATCTCAGAACTTCAAGTAAGCTTAGAATTTTTAGAGGAGAGGAATAAAATATGAAAACAGTTTGAGTAAAAACAAACTATTTAAAAATGCATTTTAAAGTTATTTCAATGCCTATTTAGGTTCATTAATTACATTTCGTATCTAATTTAACCTTGTGATAAAAAATTACATCTGTCAACATTGGTGAAAGATATAGAATGTAAAACATATTCCAATTATTAAAATAGATACACAACTGGAAATTGCTGTCAACTTTACTTTTCTGTGATATGATATGAACCAAATCATCGTTGCTGATGATGCTGCTTATTTTATTACAGTATAAAACTGACCAAACGTACAACTGGTAAACGAAATGTTTTTGTACTAACGATTTTAAAGATAAAACATCGCTTACTTTTAATTTTATTACACTTTTAACAGTATTTTGTCCTTTGAGAGTTAACATTAACATATCAATGAAGCCTACGCTTACATTAATCAATAAAAAAATTGCCATTTTTTTAGATTGAATGTGACAGCCTGTGGTAAATTGCTCCGTTAAAAAATGAAATTTAACAATGACAAATATAACAATGATAACAATGATAAATGTATAGATTCGTAAAGGAAACTAAGTTACTTTTTATGTTTAATCAGACAGATCCACACAAATTCTTGTTTTTTGTGTACATTATTTTGCCTATATTCACTTAGACCTTTAGACAGATTCCGAAGAGACAAACCACTAGTATAAGACTGAAAACATCACTAACTCAGTTCACCCTCTGCTTGTCAAACTTGATTGATTGAATATCAGAAGCTCTTAGAATATTGAAGGTTATCTGATAAATCTTTACAAAGAAAGGTAATGTAATTTACGGGATTGCGCATGTTTACGTAGCTAATATCGGTACGTAATGGGATAAATAATTTATTTATTTTTTTAAGCTATATTTGAAAAATACTCCTTTTTATACTTTACAGAATATTTTTCTCTTCAAAATAATTAAGTAAAAAAACACAATACTGTAAACAAATCTTTTTGTCCAACCCATCAAACATCTGTTGTCGTTTACTACTCTTTATTTATAACTAGAGGTCGTCCAGTGGGTGAAACCCTGACCATAAAAATTGTATGTACAGACTCTTCTCTATTTTCACCCCCAGCTCTTAACAAAACATTTGATTGGAATTTCTTCCATTTGTTTCAAATTCGGTTTATATTTAGTTGTTATTTCGTCACCAGCATGGCAACCCAGTTGGCCCATGTTAATTCT